ACCAATCAAACAAACAACCAACCAAACACACCAACCAAACAAACAAACCAACAAACCAACAAAAAAACAAACAAACAAACCAACAAACAAACAAACAAACAAACAAACAAACAAACAAACAAACCAACAAACAAACAAACAAACAAACCAACAAACAAACAAACATCTGAACAACCGATAAATATTTGATCTACTTACATAACCATCTTAACAGATGTCTCAGACAAAACACTCCCAAACAAATACGTTAAAAGTTTAAAATAAACTATTAAAACAGACAAATACGAGAGATACAAACAAAAACATAAACATACAAAAACACATGAATAGAAGGCACAGCGCACACATATACAATCACACACACACGCGCGCGCACACACACACACAAACAAAAACATATACTTTTTTATATTAGACTGAAAAACATCTGATCATCTTCTACCTACACACCTACACATGCATGCAAAACACCACACACACACACAAACACACACATACACACACACACACACCACTAAACACACACACACTCATACTCACACCCAAGGAAACTCACAACATACATAGATTATGACTCAAGGACACACTCACACATACAAAAATATACGTACTCACATACCAACACATAAAAGCACAAACGTACGGACACATACCACACACATACACACACACACACACAAACACACACGCACACTCACAACATAAAAAGAAAGCAGAATAGCTAAACGAGCTAAATATTTATTTAATATTTTTATTTAAAAAGAATTCATCTAGCCAAAATACACATAACAGACCATGAACAAGAAAAAACACATTCTTAAAAAACTTTATTATTATTATGGATATTATTATTATTATTATTATAGATATTATTATTATTATCTCTTGTTTTGGCTAAATAAGACATTTTTTGAATTTGAATTTGATTTAATATTGTTACTATTCTTTTTCTTCTGACAACTTTTAAAAAATAAACTGAAAAATTGATGTTTCGTGTTCTCAAGCCATTCATTTATTTGATACGTTTTATATGCTTATAACGCAGCTACACGCAATTTTCTTACGAATAAAATTAAAAATATTATTTTTTTTTACATTTTTCAACTAAAGGTCAACGACCATGCATGCGACAATAACAACAACAACAACAACTGCAACAACAACAACAATACAACAACAACAACAACTGCAACAACAACGACAAAACGAAATAATAATATTAACAACAACAACAAACAAAAAACTGACTCCAAACAACAAACTGACCATAAGTAACAAACTGACCAAACAACAGCAACAAACTGACCCAACAAAAAAAAGTCTTCCACTTCAACATCCATGTCCAGACTCTAGAATGACCACCTTCAACTACAAAATGACCACTCCTTGCTACAAGAACAGAATGGACTCCGACAGCAAACTGACCACCGAGAACACGAGAATGACCTCTAGCTTTTTGATCATTGTCATCGTCACATCAGTTTTTCTGTCAACTCAAATGCCACGAATTTCCGCCCAAGACGGTTTGTTTTTAATTATAAATTAATTATATCATAATTAACCTCTTTTACCAGCATATATATATATATATACGTTATATATATTATATATATTATGTATATGGGTATATATATATATATATATATATGTTCGTTTTTACGTGTGTATGTGTGTTCGGTTATACATGAGTTTGTCTGCTTGGTTGCATCTATATTTCTATGAACATAAGCATGTTCGCAAGTATTAATTGCTTTTCTTTATTTTTCTTTTTGTCTCTCTTTCTCTCTCTCTTTCTCTCTCTTTATACATATATACACATACACACACACACGCACACACACACACATATATATATATATCCAAAATCAAATTTAATATGTATTTAGTATGTATGTGTTCGTGCGTAAGAGAGTGTGTGTGAAGTAAATGTGTCTGTAATATATATCTGTATCTTGTGTTAAAAATACACGCATACACACACCACACACTAATACACACCACACACTAAACTAATACACACGAACGCACGCACACAAACACACACCACACACACTAATACACACGAACACACATATACACGCACGCCACACACAAATACACATAAACACACACATACACACCACACACTTATACACACAAACAACTACACACGCGCGCACACATAATACATATTTTTAAATATTCAATTTCAATTTATTCGTTAATTTTTTCTCGCCAGGTGGATATTACGTCGCGGCCGGGACTAGAATTTTGTTCGTGAAGGCACCCAACACTGACGTCATATATGAGGATGTCAGTTTTGCTGTTTTCTCATTATTATTATTATTATTCCTATTGTTATTCTTATTATTTGCATTGTTGTTGTTATTATTAATGTCGTCGTAGTTTTAAAAATTATTTACAAAGGTCGCATATCGCCCGGGTTAGCTCAGTCGGTTAAAGCGCCATGCCTCGCCTCACTCTGCTCTTACGCAATGGCCTGGTTCGAATACGGTTCGCCATTAAAACTCAAAGACCATGGCACACATGTGGTCAGTGTGCACGGCTTTTGTGGCACATTGGTTTAATTGCATGTCTAAAATGATATGAATTATAAAGAACAACTACAGAAAATAACACAAACATAAACAGCTATTTAGACAAAATTTTGAACACAACAACTACAAAGAAACAATGAAGTCTCAACAACATTAACACATGAACCATAACCCACAACTACATGAACAAAACTAACTTAACCTTGTAAATACAAAACAAAAAAGGTACCACAACTTAATCAACATTGTAAGCATGAACAAACATTTAAACGAATAAATATAAGTAATAGAAGATAGGTAAACAAATAGATCAACAAACACTTAAACAATTAATTAAAACTAAAAAATAAACAACTATATTAACAAATGCATAAACAGAGTTTGTCGAAAATAATCACAGTAGCGTACGACGGCTACGAGGTTTCTGGGAAAGGACTTCTATTTTGGAGTGATATTTCGGTCTCGAGGAAGAGAATTTTTAAGGCCAAAATCGAAAAGGCACCAGACATCACGGAAGAAGGGACATTGGAAATGAATATAAGTTTGTTTGTCTGTCTGTCCGTTTTTTGGCTGGTTTGGTCTGTTTGTTGGTTTGATTTTTGTTGGTTTGATTTTGTTTTTTCAAATTTAAACTGTTACAGAGGCTGAGTTTTATGTTACAGCATGCATGCAATAGAGAAATACGATGAACATCTATTTAAAATTATTTCGTTATTAACTTTATTGTAGATAAAATTATTTCATTCATCCATCCATCCATGCATGCATCCATCCATGCATGCATCCATCCATGCATGCATCCATCCATCCATGCATGCATCCATCCATCCATCCATCCATCCATCCATCCATCCATTCACTCATTCATTCATCCTCCAATCCACAAGCAGACGTCGACGCAGTCACAGGGCTAGCTCTGGACTGGAGGACGAACAACATCTACTTCACTAGCGAGAAGGACCAAACAATCAGCGCCTGTGCTTACACTTACACAGACTTCACAGCCAGATGTAAGGTGATCATCTTCACAGATCTTCAGAGACCTCGCGGAATCACTCTGGATCTGGATGCAAGGTTTTTTTTCCTAAATTTTGTTCTCTCTCGCAAATTTATTTCCACCTTCCATTTGGCTTCAGTTATTTATTGCTACGTTTTTTGTCTTTTCAATATCATTATACGTATGTTCATTTTGTTTTGTAGTTATATTTTCATAAATTTTCGAAAAAATTATGTTGGTTTTTTTTATGTTTTAGGTATATTCTCTTTTAGATATAAACCTATTTATTTATTGTGTTTATTATGTCTTTTTGCATGTTGTGTTAATCTTTGAGTTTGTAGGAGTTTGAATTTTTGAAAAATGGCAAAAAATTTTTCATCATTTGGCGTAGTCTGTAATTTTGGTGAAAACTATGGCTTTAACTACTGGAAAAAAGGCGATAATTTTTCTATGCAAATGTTACAAATAGGCTAAATTGTACTATTGTTTGATTGCTAAAACGATTTAAGATCAGAATTCATTTAAAGATTTTCAGTTTCATTTATTTCAACCGGAACCAAGATATCAATTGCTAATTAAAATAAACAAATTGCTGGGATTGTCCTGGCGGTAAAACGTGAGAAATTTTAAATAATGACGGTAAAATATGAAAGATTTGTGATATTGATGATGTGATTTAAGGGTGAACCAAATAATATCCCCAATTTGGTTCACATTGTAGGTTTTTGGAAAATACCCATTAACGTATTAACATCTATATCTATCTTTTCATCTTTCTATCACTCTCTTTTTTTTTTCTCTCTCTCACTCTTTTTTTCACTCTCTCTCACATTACCTCTTTTTTTCTCTCTCTCTTTCTCACTTTTTCTCAATGTAAATTTATGCTAATATATATGTAGTTATCTCTTCTGGAGTGACCAGAAGACAATGAAAGTTGAAAGAAGCATGTTAGACGGCTCTAATAGGACCACACTGGTCACAAACGCTCAGCTGCCCAACCATATGGTCACTCATAGAAGGTGATGATGATGGTGGTGATAATTATAGTGGTGATAATGATAGTAGTGGTGATAAAGATGATGGTGGTGGTGGTGATGATGGCGATGATGTGTTGATTGTGATTTTTAACTAGTTCTTAAATTTCTTACCCTACCACCATTACATCATCATCGTCATCAACGTCATCATTGTTGTCATAATCACTGGTGATTACTATGAAATCACCAACAACAGCAAGTTGTACTGGGTGAACTCGGACAACAAGACCCTGGAGAGATGTGACTACTCCGGATCGAACCACATCATAGTCGCATCCCTAAAAAACTTAGTCGAGGACACCCACATTTTCGGTTTATCGGTTCTCAACCGGTTATCCGGTAATCCGGGAATCGGTCCGAATAATAATAACTCTTCTTCACCTCCTACTCCCACTCCAGCCCAAAATATTCCACCCCCAACATCTGCACCATTTCTACGGGACGAATTTATCATCACCACACTTGGGAAGTTAATGGTGAGGGTGGTCGTGCCCCTTGGACAGGATTGTGGGGTGGCTGAGAGGTACATGAGTTACGCGAAGGCTAGTGCATTGTTTGGGGTGGCTCATTACAATGGAGTGCTTAACCAGACTAGTGGGTGGTGTTGTTTTGGTGGTGGTGGTGGTGGTCTTGGTGGTGGTGGTGATGGTGGTCGTGGGTTGGCTGCTGTGCATAATGTTTATCGGGCTGTTGTTTGTAGTGTCGGTGTTTTTGATGATAGTGTTGTAGATCATTTTGTTTATTTTCTATTGTTGACGTCATCTTTCTTCGCAGTTTCCGTTAATTAATTTTCAACGGTTTTAAATAAATTGTGATATTAGTAACTTGCTATTGATAACAGGGTCTAGTACTGTGTGCATAAGCGATTCAGTGAACCTTCTCTGCTTCCCTGTCAATGGTGCTGCAGTGTACGCTTGCCCGTCCCATTCCCTGTTGATCTTAGATCCGTCTGCCAGGGCCTGCGTTGGTCAGTTTGTTTTTTGCTCTTGGGCATTTTCTACTAACGAGTTTTTGTCAAACAATATTTTTTTTAAACCAATAAATTAATTTTCTGTTCGCAGAGCCAACACGCATTCTGCTGTTTGCGATGGCTGACCAAGGTGTGGTGGCAATGGTGGGCAACCCTCGTTCAGTGACGAAGGCCGAACTTCACATTCACGTCAAATTTGTTCGCAGATCTTCGCGTCCGATCGCTGTGGCCTACGACGACTACAGGCAGGTAGGTCTGTTCGTCGTCCGAATGCATTGAAGCGTTCATTTCAGATCTGTCTATAGAAAGAAGTTACTGTGAGGCATCTAAAACCTAAGTGGCGAACGGAGAAATTTATTGTGTGATTTATGAATCTAGAGACAAATTTAAAAAATCAAATTATCACTGTTTAGGAAGTTGTATGTAGGTTTCTTTCTTGAAAAATGAAATATTATGGTTAAAAGTTGTAGTCTGGAAACAAGTCTTCACTGAGAAAATTTTTGAATTAAATTTTGTAAAGAAAAATAAAAAATGAATAGTTTTATTGTTTTTTATTAAAAAATATATACTAAAACACTTTCATTAGTACTTATTTATTACATTTTATAACTGTTTCTTATTTTAATTCAAATGTCAATATAAGTCTTTATTCAAACTTTAGGCGGTTTTCTGGAGTGACGTAACAGAACACGGGATATACAGGGGGGACCTGAGGAGTTCAAAAACAGTCCCTCTTCTAACAGCTAATGATGGGATTGGTCTTGTCGATGGTTGGTTGGTTGGTTAAATGGTTGGTTAGTTGGCTGGTTGGTTGTTTGACTGGTTAGTTGGTTGGCTAGCTGGCTGGATAGTTAGCTGGTTGGTTGGTTGGTTGGCTGGTTGGTTGGTTGGCTGGCTGGCTGGTTGGTTGGTTGGCTGGCTGGCCGGATGGTTGGCTGGTTGGTTGGTTGGTATAGTTTCGGGCATAATTTTGTAACTATACATTAACTATAGTTGAAAATATTAATGTTTTAGGTGCATTATTTAACAATTCATTGAAACATTTTAAAACACAATTATCATAAAATCAAAAAAATGTAATTTTATTTTTAGTTCTTCGTCCAGAAAATATACATATACCATTATCTCGATAAATTTTTTGCCAATCATTTTCACCATCATCTCCGCAAAAAATACCTCTATACTTTTAATATTCATAATTTTATTTTCATCATTTTATACCTTGCATTATGTTGTTTATTATCTCTTGATGTTTGATTTACTAAATAAAAAAAATAAAAATTATTTACTGAATAAAAATTAAAAAAAAACAGCCGTGGTGTATTACAGCCAGCAATGTCTCCTATTCTACACAAATGTTGGATCAGTAACAATCAACCAGGTGAAATACAACTGGCACACACTTGAAGTTCTGGATGTTTGTGACGTTAATGGACCCAAAAAAATTCGTGTGTTGACCAGAAGTGGTCAGAAGTTAAGAGGATTGGCTATTGATGGCAAGTAAGCAGACGAGGTTACGTGCATGTAAATGGTTTCCAGTAAATGCTTTTGTCGTCATCATCATCGTCATCGTCGATTTTGAATTTATGTTTTTGTAATTTTTTAAAAATTAAAATACGGTTTCAAATTTTTATTCTCTAAACTTTAAATGATATTCTTGGGCGTTAAATTTTCATTTAACTTTGGCAAATCATTAGCTTATAGTAGTCAATTTTTCCATTTAAGAAGACATTTTAAGCAGGTTGCAAACAATATGTATACATCTAGTTTTGGTTTTCCACCTAAATGAATTTTTCCACATTTTTCCAACTTAATTTTGAGTTTTCAACTCCGTTTTTCCTTTCAAGCTATATCTATTTCACTGATTGGGGAGAAAAAGCTGCTCTTATGAGAATGGATATAGATGGAGAAAATTTGATAGTCATAAAATCAGGTTAATTTATTGTTAATTTGTTGACTGATTGTTTGTTTGGCTGTTTGGTTTGGTTGGTTGATTGACCGGTCGGTTGATTGGTTGGTTGGTCGGTTGATTGACTGGTAGGTGTTGGTTTTTTGGTTGGTTGATTGATTGGTGGTGGATCGTTGGTTGGTTGATTGACTGGTTGGTTGGTTGGTTGAATGATTGATTTATCTATTGGATAATGTAAATTAGTAATAACAAAATAATAAATAAAAAGAACAAACTAATAATATAACGATAAAAAAATAATAAAAATCGAAAAAAATGAACATTTTACAAGGTTTTGAGAATCCAAACGCGGTTTATTTTTACGATAACATGTTGTACGTTCTTGATTCCCACTACAAATCCAAGAGGGATGGAAGCCTGGTGAAGATCAATACAAAAGGCGTTTTTCAATCCTACATAAATAAAAACTTCGATTTAAAGGTGAATTTCGGATTTTTTTTTTCAATTTCGTCCAACTTTTTTGAAATTTTGTTCAGCCGAAAGGTTTTATATATCACACTATCACACTTTAAAATTTGTTCACCTGTTATTAGCCAAATGGGCTTTTTTTAAACCCCTTAGAACAGATTTCTGGGTACGCCACAACAATTGTAATATTAGTAATGTAATATTACATCATGAAATTTTATAACCGGTATATTGTATTGCAGCAACCATTTAGTTCATTATATCGAGAAAAATTTTTTTAGGGTAGATATTTTTTGTTTAACGGTTTTGAATTTTTTTATTCTTTAGAGACTTTTGAGAATGTTTTTTTTTATAAAGTTCGAATCAACCAACCAATCAATTAATCAATTTCTCCAGTCAAATCAGTGAAATATTTTTCAATCAACCGGCCAATCACATAATTACCCTCAAAGCAACCAACCAATTATTTACCCGATAAATTTTTAACCGACCAATCAAATGATTTTTAACCAGCCGAAATTTAATCAAATTTTACATCGGACCAATCAAATAACTTCTCACAGACCCCCTTTAGCATGACCGTGGACATGGACTACCCCTTCCATATATACATAACTGACTGGACCCTTAGAAGAATCACACGATCCGTATTCGATCCTTCAGGGGCCAATCTTCCGACATCATCAGTATTTTTCGGTTTGCAATTTTTGATATGTGTCATCTTTTTTTGACGTCATCATCATCAAAATCGTCCTCATCATCACCACCACCATCATCATCATCATTACTGACAGAGGGTTTTGATGGCTTAACCGGTCTAGTAGTTAGAAATCGTGGAAGTAGTTATGCGCCGTCAGGTTGTCGCATGTTGTCGCATGTTGTCGCATTTTGTCGCATGTTGTCGCTTGTTGTCGCATGTTGTTGCATGTTGATTGTTGTTGCGATTTGTGATCGCAATTCTTAATTGTCACTGCTCTCCTCACTACAGTCACCATCAAATTCATCACAATCATCATGAAAACCCATTGAAATTATTATTATCATCTATAAAATTCATCATCATCGTCATCATCCTCATCACTAAAGCCATCATCATCTTCGTCGTCGTCATCATAGTCATTATGGGTGACGCGATAGTGTAATGGTTAAAGTGTCTGGCTTTGCTGATGCAGTAACCAGGTTTGAATGTACAGAGATCCCCGCCTGTCACGTGCAAGAGTGTGTGATGCTTTGCTGCCATGGCGCTATGTAAAATGACATCATCATCGTCATCATCATCACCATTGTCATCATCACCATCGACATCACTAAATCCATCATCATCATCATCAAATCTTATCATAATCAGGATCATGTAAAGGTTCGGATGAAAGCATATGCTTCACATCTTCAAAATTTGTTTGTAAATCCAAATTTCTCGACCAAACCTCTCAAAAATGTTCATGTCAGTAACTGCTGATGTTTCTATTGTAGATGTTGTTGTTTTTGTGGTTGATGTTGATGTTTTTAAGTTGTTGTTGTTGATGTTGTTGCTGTAGTTGTTAATATTCACTCAAACTAACATACCCACCCACCAATCCATTCAATCAACCGCAATCAAACGAACCAACGCATCAGTGTCAAAGAACTTTGTGGCCATTGCTGACTTGAACTCCATAAAGTTCATGAACCTTGACCTCGTGGCCCCTGCTAGTGAAATCAATCATGTGATGACTGTGGTGCAGGGTGATTCCTATATGGCTAATATTGCCGCTCTGGCTTACTATAACGACAGTCTCATATATTTCAATATTTTTGAGTTAGTTCCGGTTCAATGTATTTTTGTTTTGTTTGTTTGTCTGTGTGTTCGTTCGTTTGTTTGTTTTTAAGTAAGATTTTTGCTTTTAGTCTTATTCTTCTACTGTTTTACTACTTGTTGCTTCTGCTCAAATATTTGATTGTGATATTTTCTCTTTTCTAACGAAATAACCTAACACTATGCTATTCGACACTCCTCATGTGATAAAAATTTCACCAAAAACATTAACTCACTCACATCACCATCTGATCACCTCCCAGCAACACATTCAACTCCTTAAACCTGGTCACATTTCTGACCACACCAATCTACCGGGTAAACCACATCGTTGAGAGCATGTTGCAGCACGACAACGTTCTATACTGGTCAGACAGCAACTATGGACTTATATGCTACCTGTCACTGCTCAATCCAAGCAGCGGTCATAAGATTCTACGACAAAAACTGAGCAAGCCGAGAGATTTGGCTATCCTTAGAGGGTTAGCTAAATTGGTGTGTTTTTGGTTAATTGCTTTGTTGTTTGGTCAGTTGAACTGAAGAAGGAGAAGCGATTTTCATGTTATCTGGTTGGCGAGTAAGCTCAGTCGGAAAACGCCTCATATCTCGCTATGTTATCGCACTGTTACCTGGTTCAAATCGATTGAGTCTGGACATTTGTTTATTTAAAGAAACTTCTTAACCCAAAAATTACGAAATAAAATATAAAATATCTAGTTTGCGGGATCTTTGGTTAAATTGGTGAATGTTATTTTAGATACGTTAGCAAATCAGATTCAGTGGAAGACTGAAAATGGTGAATCTTTTATTGAATTCATTGAAAAAATATTAATGGTAATTATTAATTATTAATTAGTAAACTCACTTTAAACCCCCAACATTCGCATACAATTTTGTCAGTGAGTTATATTGGACAGAATGGGGCAAATCGCCAAAAGTAGCCAAAATCGCCCTGCCTGAGTCAGCTTCCTCTGTCAAAGAAACAGTCATTGTCATACCCTCCCCATTGGCCAACTTGTCCCTGACGTGGCCAAATGGGTTGGTGTTTGACGGGGCAACTGATGCAATGTATGTGGGTGATGGATTTGGGGCTACGAAAAAAATTCTAAAGGTCCAGTTTGATTTTTCTGGTTAGTTGGTTTGATCGGTTTGCTTGGTTGGTTTGTTGGTTGGCTGGTTGGTTAGTTAGTTGGTTGGTTGGTTGGTTGGTCGGTCGGTCGGTCGGTCGGTCGGTCGGTCGGTTGGTTGGTCGGTCTATTGACTATATAGTTTATGAATCTAATTTAATTAAATGTTGATATTATAAGGAAAAGTTTTTTGTATAAAATTTTAGTTCAATTCTTGATTTTTTTGATAAACACATAGAATTATTTTTGCGCGCGCACACACACTCTCACACACATACTCACACACTCACACACACACACACACACATACGTACTTGGACACACACAAACACACACACAGTCATCCACACACACACACACACACACACACACACACACAGACATACACACACACACAAACACACAAACATACATACACACACACAAACACACACACAGACACACAAACACACAAACAAACACCACACGCGCACACAAACCAGTCAGCCCACCAGCGATGGTTGAAACGCAGTTAACGGACGACATCACGCATATTTACGATATCGGCTTCATCAACCAGAACATCTTCTACACGGATATGCTAACCGGATCGTTAAACGTGATCCCACTGGACACCGGAAGGAGTTCAGTGGTTATAGACAACCTAATTAGGCCATCGCAGTTTGTCATTAGATATACCACCTCTCCGTCCAACTGTTATTATTGAAAACTTCATATTTCAAACAATTTTTTTCGTCAATTTTTATGTAGCCACTTCAATTCTCAACTATCTTTCTAATTTTAAAAACTATAAAGACGATGACATTATAATTTTAACACAGAGGAAGACAAAAATAAAAATTACACCAACAACTTCAATGATTACACTAACAAATTATTGTCAAATAACCTTACCTATAACTATATTGTGAAGATGATAACACTGTGGTTATAATAACGACAGCTATTACACAAACAACATTAATGATTACAATAACAAATTGATGTCTGCAAACTATCCTATAAATAATTACAACAACAACATAATAACAATTACATCAACAACAACAACATTAATGATTACCTCGAAAATTTATCACATACAACTACCCTATGAGAAGATTACAACGACAACAACATTAATGACTACACTCACAAGTTGATTTCAACAACATTAATGATTACACTAATAAATTAATGTCATACAACAGCATAAATCATTACACCAACAAATACAACAGCATTAATGATTACACTAACAATTTGATGTCATACAGCCCAAACTAACCTAACTAACCATACACAGATTGCAATCCTGTAGTCAAGAATAAGGTGTGCGGTTCTGACCCGAACATTGCATGCAAGTCAATCCTTGGTAGCATGGTTGAGTGTTCATGTGTCGATCAAGTCAATTATGTCTACGTTAAATCTTCGAAAGCTTGCGCCTGTAAGTAAGAGTATTTGTGTTGTTGTTGGACACAACTTATTCAATCAACCAAAAACCAACCGAAAAATCCCCAACCAACCAATCAACAAATAAACAACCTATCAACAACCATCCAACCAACAACCATCCAACCAACTAATCAACAAAAAACCAATCAACAAATAAACAACCAATCAACAACCATCCAACCAACAACATTCCAATCAACAACCATTCAACCAACCAATCAACAAATAACCAACCAACCAGTCAACAAACCATTCAACTAAACAGCCAATCAATCAACAACCATTCAACCAACTAACCAACAATCATCTATCTAACCAACCAATCAAAATCCATCCAACCAGCCAACCAACCAGCCAATCAACAATCAACCAACCAACTAACCAATCATCAACCATTTAATCAACCAACCACTCAGTGAG